CCGCGGGGCCTCGGCGCGGCCGCCTCCGCGCCACAGACCAACCACCGCACCGCCTTCCTCAGCCGCGGAGAGCGGTAGCCGAGCCTGGAGGGCTGAGGGCCGCCCACCGCGCCGCCCGCCAACGCGCAGGGCTTAACGGGTGGGCAGAGGCGGCCCGGCGCGGCTCTGAAGCCACTGGGAGGCACGCTCTTGTGAACACTACTTTAGGGAGTCCTGTTACTTTTCTTTAAGGATCACCTTTCCCATCACCCCCGTTGCTTCACCCTTTCTGAGCTGGGGCGGGGGTCAATGCGTGTAATACGTTGTCGCATCTGTTCTCCATATTACCTGCTCTTACACTCTTCTGTCTGGTTATCTAATAGCCTCACGACTACTGTGTCATCTGCTTTAGACGTCACATATTAGGGAGACCAAGTGATGTTTGTTTTTCTGAGTCAGGATTATTTCACTTAATCTGATCTCCAGATGCAACCATTTTCCTGCCAATGACAAAGATTCATTCTTCATGGCTGAATAATACTTCATTGTGTATGTATACTACAATTTTTTTTTTGTTTTTTTGTTGTTGTTTATTCTGTCAATGGATGCCTAGGCTAGTTGCATGTCTTGGCTGTGATGAATTGTGCTGCAGCATGAGGAGGCAATTATCTCTATAGAATGTTGACTTTAATTCCTTCAGAGACACCAAGAAGTGGCATACTCAGATCAAAGAGCGGCTGTATTTTTAGTGTCTTGACTTCCATACCAGCAGTGTGGAAAGAGTTCTTTTCCCCTTACGTCTTTGCCACTGTGTGCTGCTTTTTATATTCCTGATGATAGCTGTTCTCTGACTGGAGAGATGAAATCTCAATGTAGTTTTGATTTGCATTTCCCTAGTGGCTGGAGATGTTAAACATGATTTTCAAATAGTTATTGACCATTTGTATTTCTTTTTGTGAAGCTTAGCAAAGTGGTGCACATCAGTAATCCCAGCACTTTTTTTTTTTCTTTTGGAGACAAGGTCTTCTTATGCAGTTGAGGCTGACCTTGAACTCACTTTGTAGCCCAGGCAGGCCTTAAACTTACTAACAGTCCTTTCTGCCTCAGCCTTTTTTTTTTTTTTCCAGAACCGGGGATTGAATTCAGACCCTTGCGCTTGCCAGGGAAGCACTTATTCTACTGAGCCATCTTCCTGCCCCCCACCCAGCCTTCTGAGGGCTAGGATTACAGGCATGTGGGATTACCATACACAGTTCTCAGCACTTTGAACAACTGAGGTATCAGGATTGCAAGTTCAAACTTGGCCAATTTAGTAAGACTCTGACTTAAAATTAAAAAAAAAATTAAGAAAGGGATGAGGATATAGCTGAGTGAAGGTCCTAGTTTTGCTTAGTACTAGTGGAATAAAAGTATTTCTTCAATTCATTTGCCCATTTATTGATTGGGCTATTTGATTTTTTTTTCCTATTAAATGTTTTGAGGTTTTTTTTTTGTTGTTGTTTTTTTTTGTGGAACTGGGGATTGAACTCAGGCCCTTGTGCTTGCCAGGGAAGCACCTATTCTATTAAGCCATCTCCCCGGCCCCTGTTTTGAGTTCTTTATATTTTTTTTAGTGTTAACTTTGAAGAGTAGATGGCAAAAAAATATTCTTCTAGTTTGTAGGCTGTCTCTTTGCAGCTAGTTGTTTCCCTTGATTTACTGAAAGGTTTATTTTTTTGTGCCATTTGTTAGTTCTTGTAATTCCAATATTATTAGGGTCCTATTCAGGAAGTCTTTGCCTGTGCACATGGCTTCAGTATTTTACCTATGTTTTCTTTTAGAAGTTTCAAGGTTTCAGGTCTTATGCCTAGGTCTTTGATCCATTTTGAATTGACTTTTATACAATGTGAGAGGGATCTAGTTTCAATTCTCTGTGAGTATCCAGTTTCTACAGCACCACTTGTTGAAGAGGTTGTCCTTTCTCCAGTACAGTATCTAATTTTGGTTTCTTTGTTAAGAATCAGATGGCTGCAGTTGTGTGGATTTATTCCCGTGTCCTCTATTCTGTTCCACTGGTTTATGTGTCTGTTGTTTTGTGCCTGTGCCAGTGCCATGCTGTTTTTGTTACTATGGCTTTTTAGTATAATTTGCAGTTGGTTATTGTGATGCCTCCAGGGTTGATCTTTTTACATATGATTGCTCTGGCTGTTCTTGAGACTTTGGTACTTCTGTACAAGTTTTAGGATTGCCTTTTCTAGTTCTATGAAGAATGTCATTGGTATTTTGATGAGGATTGGAATTAATCCGTGGATAATTTTTGGTGATATGGCCATTTTAGCAATTATTTCTGCCAAGCCGTGAATATGGGAGGTCTTTCCATCCTCCAATGGTTTCATTTCCTAAGTGCTCATCTCAGGAGATGAGTGAGTGGTCCCTGGAAAGCATGCTCAGCAACAGAATAGTGATATCTGAAGGGATTCTGAAGGATTTCTGGGGGCCCAGCAGGTTTGAGGGCTCCTATGGTCTGAAGACTATTATCTCTCCTTCCAAAATTCATGTGTTGGGACAGGGAGATAGTTTGGCAGTCTAAGCACGTGCCTGGCAAGCACAAGAACCTGGGTTTGATCCTCAATACTGCATGTGGTGTGCTGACCACTGAAACCGGGTATGGGGGCACACAGCTGTAATCCCAGTGCTGGGGAGCTGAGACAGGAGGATCACTATGAGTCCAAGCTGCATACTGAGACCCTCTGCCAAATAAATTAATAAATAGAAGATTAAAAAATTTTCTTTTGAAAATTCGTGTGTTGAAGCTTAAGCTCTAACACAAGTATTAAGAGGTGGGGCCTTTTGGTCATGATTGGGTCCTAAGGGGCCTGTTCTCATGCGTGGGAACTGTTCTCTCATTAAAAAGGGTTTGAGAGAACCTATCTGCCCCCTCCACCATGTGAGTATGATATGACCAGGCTCACCTTGCCCACTGTAGTGTGCCAATTGCTAAGACAAGGAGTTTTGCAAAAGAGGAAGACTCTATTCACAAGGCCACCATTGTGAACACTGGAGATCAAATTTCAAGTCCATCTCCCTGAGAATAGGGTTTGGGGATATGGCATGAGGCACATGGGAAGGTGACTAGAGGTTAGGATGTAACTGGTACCTTGTGCATGTGTGATCCAACTTCAGCAATTACCATCATGACTCATGAGTCTGAGGTGTTAGAGCCACAAGAGAGGTAATTTGGAAAACAAGCGACTAGGAACAGGTGTAGAGTTAGGTCTAGAAAAGTAAATACCTAAGATCAAGTAAAGCAGATTAAGTCCAGAAAGTTTAGCCAGCTACTGTGGTGCCTTGGTTTCATAAAGATGCAGCAGTAAGGCACCACTGTTGAAACAGAAAACCAAGCCCTCCCTGTGCTCTGAATCTGCTGCTACCTTGGCCTTGGCCTTCTCTGGCAGAAATGCAAACAATAAAGTTCTGTTGTTTACCTGACTGTTTGTTTTAACAGCCTGAACAAACTGAAATAGGGGCATAAGGACATCAAGACCCTATTGTATAATTTCTTTCTATAGCTTTCTGTTAATGAAAAGAAAAATTTTTTTTTACCTTTGGGATTGGCAGGGTGGAGGCAGTTTTGTAGGTGCTAAGTGCGTGCGGTCTATGAAAGAAGGCCGAGCTGAATGACAACAGGGAATAACCTACGAATTAAGCTAACTGATCTTCAAAGTTGTATGACCAAATTCTTTTATAAAACTTTTTTTTAATTTATGTATTTGCTTGTACAGCAATTAACCACTAAGAAGAATATATGCAGTGTGTTATTTGTTGAAACTGTACTTCGGATTTGATTTGAAACTGTCTCATTGCTATCTGTTTATCAATAAAATTTTGAAAAAAAAATTTATGTATTTGGTACAGGGTCTCACTATGCAGCCCGGACTCATAGTGATCCTTCTGTCTCATACTTGGCTGTGACTGGGATTACAGGCGTGCGCCACCACACCTGGACTCAGTGGTCTGCTCAGCATGCCCAGGAACAGGGCCAGTGTAGCATGTGGTGCTGGGAATCAAATCCTGGTCCCTGAACTTGCCTAAGTAGGTTCTTAGTCTGCTGAGCTATCTCGCTGGCTCTAGAACTTTCATTTATTAAATCTTTTATTTATTTATTTGGTACAGGGTCTTGCTATGCAGCTCTGACTCATAGTGATCCTCTGTGTCAGCCTCCACAGTGCTGGGATTATAGGCATGTGCCACCACACCTGGTCTTGGTGGCTGGCACCACATGTGGTACTGGGGAACAACCTCGGGTCCTTGACTGCTGAGCTTTCTCCCCAGCTCCCCAGATTCTTAAAGTGTGTTACAAGGATACTGCTTAGCAGGTACTGATTTGTTTGCACTCACAAATGTGTCCAAAGACACCACTGATTTAAGAGAA